GAATTTACCAAATTTTTCTCCCATTATCGGATGTCCCTTTAAGAGTCCGACCGTGAGATCAGCTCGGCTCCGTTCATTCGTGAACTCTCGCGTGGCCGCCAGAGTCATTGTCAAGGGCGCCCCGCGCTCCCATGGGAGATCGTCGAACAATGAATGGGTCAGTCGGCGATCCGCGAGTTTGATCAATTCGTGAAGCAGGTTGTATACATATAATAGAACGATGGTATTTGGGTTATCATGCGGCCGCACTCGGTGTGTTCTGTCCTCGAGCTTGTTTTATTATGTGCAGAAGTGTTTTACATCTTGTTTTGCATCGATGTCACATTTGTTTTCTGTTGAATATTCTAGACGCGTTTAAATATAGGGTACCCACTGGACGAACATGATAATAGATCGACATTTGTTGGAGTTGTTTGTGGGACGGAAATTTAGACTTACATGCTTTTGCAGTAGTAGTTGCGAATTTATTTTTGAGGAATTTGAAGTTTTTCATAAGGCATAATTGACCTACTAATACAAGTAATATTTGTCTATCTCTGAGAATAAAGTTGTTTTCCGTATATTTTTAACAGCAATCATAACGTAAGGGGGTGTCCATTAATCACGTGATTGTTTCTAAGAGGGAACCCCCCTTCCCCTTGGTGATTTGTGGTAATATTCAAAATTATCCCCTCTTTCTCACCAAACCTCACGTGTATTTTTAGTTACAAGAAAAAGCAGTAACATTTTTGATTATTTTTGAGGATGTTTAGATTTTTTTAACTATACTTCTCCCTCCCCCACGTGATATTTTGTGATCTTTTGTCAAACCCCCCCTCCCCCTAAAAACCTCACGTGATTATTGGACTAGGACCTAATAAGTCCTATAAGCTGTTGTACTGATTTTTTGAAAAACGTGTCATTTTTATAGATGACACCTATATCTCTATTTACCTATCCTATCTCTATGCGATGAACAAATTATTGCAATTTTTGTAAATATAAGACCAAAATGTCCAGGAAAGGCTATTTTGAAGCCCTTTCCAATTACTATGTATATTACGGAGTGAAAACAGATTCCATTTCAGCTTGACATCAAGCTGTCCGAGTCAGGTATCAAATCTTCTGGTTGCAATTCCACTGCTTTAATCCTCGAGAGAGCTCCTAATAAGCAATTTGAAGTCAAAATATTTTTTGTTATTTTTTAGAATATTAATCACATCTAGTGTTTTGTATTTTTTGAGCTGATTAAGTTCTTATACTTATCATTATAAAAACCAACAATGCAATTATAAATATGTTTCAGCCACTATCTTGCCAATATATAATTGGAGTTTATTTTACTTGAAATCATATTCAGATTTATATCTAGTAAGAACTGTTCTTACTACTGCTTGATACCATGCTATCCAAGGCGGGAATTGACTCTGGAAACTTTTAGTAGCTCTTACTATTGTGCACAATCTTTAAGTTGGACAAGGAAATATAAGACAAATTTAGCGATTTTTATGATTTTTATTCACATAAAACTTAAAAATTAAAAAAAAAATAGTTTTTATAATTCTCTGTTTCAGAGCCCCAAATGATATCTTATTGAGCTTGACTAAAATTAAAATAGTTTTCAAAACTATTTATCACAAATATATATTATATTACACATATTCAAATTTTCTTTCCAACATATATATATGTACATGTATATGTACTTAATTATTTTGTTTAGCACCAAAAAACCATGTAATTAATATTATATTTCGTTTTGTAGATAAGTATGTACTATCTAAACAAATTAGTTTTGTAGATAAACGTATATACGAAAGAATTTAAAAACAATAAGTCATAATTACACAAAAAATAGTTTTTATGTATCTATTTCTCAGTACAAAATAAATCTTGTGAATATCATCACGGCGTGAAAAGGCAATAATTTGTTCTAAATCTTTTTTAGCTTCTTCTTCAATAAGATTTCTACTAGTGTAAAAATTATCATTTAATCATTTATACTCACATCACTAACAACTGTTTATGTTTATTACACATGGAAGAATTATCTGACATAGAAATTATCAGAATGATTAATAGATTTCTTGAAAATAATTAATTTAATCGATGTTTTGCACTATAAATAAACCACTAATGTGATGAGGAATACGAATCGCTATATGCAAATTTAGAAGTTGCATTTATCATTTATTAAAAAGCTTTGATAAAGTGGTTATTGTTAATTATTCAAATGTTCTTAAGAATAATTGATTACACTTTATGAGAAGTATTACTCGAACTAACTGTTATGGCAAAGGGCTTATATGCAAATGTGGGATTCTCTTGATTTATTATTTCATTGTTCATTTATACAATATAATGTTTTTATTTTGATATATGACTATAATTATAATTGTGTAATATACGGTTATTCATACTATTTTTCGTAAATTTATATATTCTATAGAATGCTAATTTTAACAGCAAGTTCAATTGTTGCAGAATGGCATGGATGCTATATTCAAATTGTAAATTCAATTATTTTAAATTTAATTTTATATAACCTTACGGTTTTGTAATTATTATACCTGTCTAGGTATAATTGACTAGGTGATTTCATAAGAATTTGCGTATTATCTTTTTCCATAGTCTTTAATTAGCTTGGACAAGACATTGCGTAAAATACAAGCGTAATATTTGACGCGGATGCTATAGCATTCATCGTATATAACGTTTAAAATCCGATAATATGACTACCCTTATAAACGGTGTTCAATCAAACTTCACAACTAATTTAAAAATTAAGTAACTGTAAATTTTTTTCATCATACTGAAACTGTTGCTGTCTACAAACGTGTTAAGATCAACACATTTTCACTATGAAATCTTTGTGATTAAATATATCATTTTTATCCGTATTTTAATATAATTAATTACGTAATCCGTAAACAATAAATGCATGATAAATTTATCCATAGAGGAAATATTTTCCAGATAATTTCAATGCAAAATCTTATCACAATTTTTTTTTTGTATCACTTTCCTGACCTCTTTAATGAGTGATTTTATCTGACTTCTACCACAATAAATATGAGACATGTGACATGGACAATTATTATTATTACATGATCAACTGTCAGAGATCTGACATGAGACATAATTTAAAAATTTGATTTCTTTTGAAAGTTATATGAGTAATACACCTTTCAGTCATCTGCATGACTTCTCCAGTCAAAGACAATTTGATGGAAGAAATGTGAATTTTCTTCTTTATAATTTTATAATTTTTATTAACAGGATGAATATTAATAACAAGTTAATGAATAGATTTCTTTCATATATATATTTGATATAAAAATAGTAGAAATTTTTTTTCTTATCATCCCTGGTATTTCAATAACTATTACTCAGCAGTTTGGTATGTAGAAAAATAGTTTATATTTCTAATACATATATTTATTTCTAAATATTGATATCTGAGATTTCTAATAGAATTCATATCTCGATCGATTTAGGAATTCAAACAATAAATAATCATATCAGTATCTGCAATTTATAAAATAAAAATAATTTATATTTTGGCATTCATTTGTGCAAAAATCTGATACAGTTAAACAAACATCAGATACTGTTCAACTGTGTCTTGCTAATGTAATAGATACGTTAAATAAATATGATTTTGTGTTGAAGAGGAAATAAATATGTATTTTTACCATTTTATATATTTCTGTGGCGAGAAAGCAGCAATAGACAATAATAAGATGGAATGATCGAAACTTTTCTACAAATATCTCCGATTCTGTAACACAGATTCTGAAGTTGTATTGATAGAAACAGATTTAAAAATTGGGTCATTTGACCATACAGACGTATATCATCTGTACTCAGGTTATTTGTAAATATTTTAAGATTTTTGAAGAATTGGTACAGAAGTTTTGCCCAAGGGGGACTATGTAGCATTCACATCCTAAATCTTAACTACTGTTACTAGATAGATTTTTTACTGTTTAGTGTAAAAAATAAAAAATTTAGATAAATCATACAGATCATTTAGATAACATATAAATCATACATCACATGGTCATTATATATTCTTACACCACCACGTTGCGCACTAAAACGTGGGCACGAAGACACGAGATATAGCAAACTACAATACAAAACGTACATCTAGAAAATGATATGTAAATAATTTATTTTCTATATATTAATATTTTGATATTGTCTATTTTCAGTCATAAATATCATTGAATCTCTTGGCACATCAAGATCTGAAAAATGATGATTCAGGAAACACATTCAAAATTGGAAATCACTGTCCAATGTAGTATTTGGTAAAAGTATAAAACAATTTTCTTGCAAGATGATAAGGTAATCATTTTTTGGCATATATCTATTTTAAATAGTATGTGTCCTAGGAGCTCTGATTTTTTTAGAAGCCCACTTCAATGACAACATTCTGTTTGGACGTTTTTTTATAATTTTGTCTTAGAATTTTTCAATATAGATGACATATTTGTACTTGAGTACATATTATATATATATATACATTCTTAAGTGAAAAAGAATATTATTACTGCTTGATATCAGGTTGTCCATAACATTAGCTTAAACGTAGCCAGAGACTTAACACAGCGCTCCAAACACCCTAAATTTCTAAAAAACTCCCTAATTTCAAAACAAAATACTCTCAGTGCAATAATCTGTTTAGATCATGAGACATAAAATATTAATAAATTAAAATATAACTTAACATCGTTGAAAAAATTAATACATTTTAATATAAAAGTGTAAAATATTACACATCATTGTGAAAAAGTTCCCAAATTTATACAAACCTTTATCCATACAATTTTATATAAAAAAATCGATAAGTCCAATAGCAATTTTCCAATACAATTTTCAGTGTATTTTTACGAATCTGATTATTTATTACCCGCTGCACAGTTTTAGAAGCGCTGCCCATCGCTGATATGGTTTTTATATATAATACAGTGTAAGATGTAGGACTTCCATGCAGAACTTTAGAACGTGTTTTTGAGTCTGAAGTGTCTGACGCGTCGCGATTCGTTTTCGATTATTAATTTTATTTATTACCAATTGATTAATTTAATTTTCCAATATGATCAACAAGTGTTCTGTGATACTAGCTGTACTGTGTTCGATTTTAGGTTCTTCAAATGTATTTGCATCAGAATTAGATGGCAAGGTAAGTAGATAATGGATACAGAAGTTCTGATACATTTCTGTTGAAAATTAAAATAAAATTATTATTTTAGTAAAATGGTTTTAAAAGATGTAATAATTTTTTAACATGGTATGGTACAGTGCATGGTTCAAATAAGTTATATTGTTATCAAATATTTTACCAAAGTACAAAATCATTTACTTGGATTTTGAGTTTTTCGACCAATGACTATGTTTTTGGTTTACATGATTTTTGCTCACAAAATGCGATTTTCACTTGAGATTATATTTAAAATCTTCAACCTCAAGTGAAATTTGATATCATACTGCTTCATATCGAGCTGGCTGAGGTTGGAATCGAACCGGGGACTAGTTTGTGCTAGCCCATGTTTTTACCTATTACACAACGACGTTTAATTAAAAAGTAGTGGGGTTAAGGCAAATCGCTCGAACTTTCCGTACTAAAAAAAAATTTTTTTAAAAGGTTAAAATTTTTTAAAGAAAAAATTTATAAACATTTTAAAAAAAAGATATATAAAAATTTTAGTTTTCTGAATAATAAATAAAATCTGAAGTTTAGATTTGTTATAACGATGCAATTGATTACTAATGATAATTAATGCTATGGAATTAATTATTTATCAAAAACCAATAAGAGACATCAACATAATCGTTATAAATATATATAACCATAAGTTGAATAATCTGCACAGAATAAACAACAATAAAATTAATATATTTATTTACATTGTCTCGTAGAATCATCACATTGGCTGGTTTAGATAATGATATCAAATTTTGTTCTGGGGTTTTCTATTTATTCTGAAAAAATCCAGATACTAATCCACTAAAATATTTATGTGTCGTGATAAAATGTATGTTTTTATTTTACATTTAATGAATCTTGACATCACTGATTCTCGTTTCTGATAATTACGAACAAAAGCAAAATTTATCACAGTATATCTCTAGAATTACATATTTACATGCGCATAACCGGTGTTAATCTAATCAGGTTAATCTTAATATGGGTTTTTTATAAATTTAATATTGCGTTTTATGATTTGCAATCAGATTTAAGAGGAAATTAGATATTAATATGTTTTGGCAAATTTTATATTGTGTCTTAAGAGTCCTATGACCTATTGTGATGATGCTTCTTAACTACATGACATTTTTGGACGGGAATTCATTGATTGTTCTTTCTCTATATTTGATATCATTTTTCTTAGATTTGTTCTAATAACAATGATATATGTCTAATTAAATTTTGTTATGCTGGAAAGGACTATTTTCATATAGACAAATTCATTAATGAATAATAGAGAATTCTCTATTATTCAAAGTAAAGACGGAAATCACAGGTTTGAACCTGATAATTCGAGATTAGGTAGCCAAGCGTATACAATAGCGATACAAACCCCCATAAAAATATTTTGATCACATATTCATCAATAGTTTATTTATTTTACTAAATTTGTTATTATGTGAGCTAATATTCTAAAAATAATTGTCATTTGATGCTCTTTAAGAACTTAAAATCCAAAGTTAAGACTTTGATGAGCAAACTTCAGAATTTTTGGAAAAGCTAAAATAATTTGAAAAAGCTAAAATAATTTGGAAAAGCCTAATATTTTCTTTCGAGAACTTCCAACCTCGTTTCGAACAAAAACCACAATTTTGTCCTGGATAGTTCAGTCGTTCAACTAAAAACTAATTACATCTTCTTTAAAACATTGTTGTTATCCATTTGGCTATACATCCTTCTGATATTTATGTGAAATTTTAAATAAACTATATAATTATGATAGTTTTTCTTTTTTAGCTAGATGTGACCATTTTCTACGAAACTTTGTGCCCAGACAGTGTCAGATTTATATCAAACCAACTCTATCCAAACTTCGAAGCTTTGGCGCCGTTCACGAACTTCAAATTTGTGCCATTCGGAAAAGCAGCGGTAAGTTTATTTTATTTATATTTTAATAGATTTTAGTTATTTATTGTTTACACAAATTATTATGCGTCTATCTAACTGTAATGTAATATTATAAATTAGCGGCTGAGGTTTAGTATAAGATGCATAAAATACCTGCTCGACGACGGTTTCTGTTTTTGTTGAAAACCAATAACGCTTAATAATTTATGGTTTGCCCAGTTATATAACAGGAAGAGAACTCAAAATACTGGAAATGCAGGTGTAACGGATTTATAATCTTTGGATTTTGTTGTCAAAATTGTTGGAACGGAATTTTGTCATTGTTGCTGTTTTGTGTACATGGTTTTGTCTTGATATCGAAACTTTTAACGCAGTTAATAAATTATGTGTTCAATATCCCCCTATACAATTTAAATTTTATTATTGGATAATAAAGCGTTCATAAAATATATAATCGTAATAAAACATAATGTAAAGAAATTATACATTAATTTGTAAAAAAAATCGTGATCCTGATTCATTTCAATACAAGTAAATTGTAACTTTGCATTATAAAGATCAAAAAAACTTTTATAGATGTAGTATTTTAAATTTTTTTATTAATGTAAATCTCGTATATTTACAAATCAACAATTACTTAATTCAAAAAGTCAACGAACTATTTTAATGTTCTAAGCAGTTTTTCAAATTATCGCATATTTAGAATGCTTATTAGTAATATTTTATAAGTTGCAACATTTGCAGAGTGCAGCAGTCTATATATATTGATATATTGAATCACCTAAAATAATATTAAAAAATTACTATACATATAGTAAAAAATAAAATATTATACATATTTATATTACTAGTAGTTGTAATAAATTATTTAATTTTCTTATCTACTATATTTATGAATCCATACTATGATTTCGGGCTACATTCATAAAGATAATTTTACAATTTGACCTAATTAGACGTCCTAATCAGCATAAGTTTTACACAATATTCACGTTAAACTAAATTAAATTTTACTCGTTTAATAAAAAAAAATTATCGTGTTTTATCGAATCCGTGGAATCCGCGTAATTTAATATATAACATTAGAAATTATTTTTATAGTTCGTTTGCAATTAACTCGTGCGCGATTATTTTTACAGGGGTAACCAACCTTGATTATAATAAAAAAAAACACAAAAACAACAAGCAATATAGATTATAGAATAAGTAAGAAAACAATTGAGTAGATTATGAGATTTAATAACTTTTATTTTAAATTTTGAATTAGAAGTGATACTGCTATGACTACGAAGTAGTTGTAATTATTTTTTTTATTTTTTTTTTATTTTATTATTATAAGCTATTTAGGGAGACCTTATGCCTCTCTTACAGAGTCTAAGAAGTGCAATATTAAAGTTTTAAAAATGTATTAAAGTATTTTCAAAAAAATGTAATGAAAGTATTCAAGTTTATTAATTTTGCCATGATAGGCCAACTTTAAGCTTGGTCAAATGAAATGAGCTACATTTTTTTTTTCTTCTATTGATTTATAAAATGATACAATTCTTGATAGCATATACATATTAAAAAAATATCGTTTTGTAAATTTTCCAAAATAAAATGAGTAAATTATGACGGTAGTGGCAACATGTTCGATTCGCATGAATGAGCTCCCGAATACCAGCTCTTTGCGAAAAAATTCAAAACTTTTTTTGTACATTCTAATTACAATCTGTCACACTTAGGACATTCAGTAATTGTTTTGACTTTATTATATATGGATTTTTGAATGGATAGCAAACCAGTAGTTGTCCAATCCAATTATGACTAAATAACTGTACTCTTAGTATTTGGTGACATTTTTATTGTATATTTGCAACTATACCCACGAGAGGCGATTTTCACTTAAGGCTATATTTGAGATCTATAACCTCAAGAAAAAACTCAATGAGAATTCTAAGTATCTTATAAAAAATTGTATGTTATAGAACATTGAATAGGCTCAGATAATAATATGTAAAATGAAAAAAGTGCGCCAAAATCAATAAATGTAGAGCATTTAATATGTAAAAGTATGTAAAAATAAGTTGAATGTGGAGCTTTGATTATGATAGGATAAAACATTAAAATTGATGCAAATGACTAAAATCTGCAGATACAAAGGAAATAAATGAAAAATATAAAAAAATAAGTTGAAGCTTTGGGTTACTTCGATTCGTTCGATTCTTGAGTGAGAACATTTATTTTTCTTTGTCGCAATATTTAAGTTCCCAACATCTGTATCCATTATATTTACTCCCAATATCATATTTTTACGCGTTCGAAGACTAGAAAGTCCATAAAATTGCCAAGAGAGAGTACGACGCCTACAGACGGTATGCGATCGCGTTTCGCAAATTCGCAAAAATCGCAATAATAATCATACAGGGCTACATCATAAATACTAATTTAATTACATAACATCATATAATTTCTTGATACATTCCTTTCCTGAATAAAAAATCAATGGAATGACAAATACCGGTACAAGTTACGCGTTTTCATCGATAATCAGTTTATCAGTCGCACCGTTACGGATACACATATTGTATATATAAAAACATTAATAGTGCGGAACTCTCCATAAAATACCGTTGGAAATCTTCCCAAGGCACGAAGAATGTTTATTTGGCATATTGTATGCTGATTTTTGTTAAATATTGATTATTGATGGAAGGATGTCGCATTTGTGACGACAAAGTTTGTCGCTTTCGAGTTGGAAGACCTAGTTAGAAATAATAAACAATATATTGTTTTGGCATTTTAAATTGATAAGATCTATGCGAAAATACTCGTTTGACGTCAATTTGAAATATCGAAAAAGACATGGTTGATTTTATTATTATTTTATAAATTTAAAAGCCATTTGGTTAAACTCTATGATAATTCGCATTGATTAGTTTTGCACGACGATCGGCTGAATTGTTTCTTAGAATTAGTAGAAAAGTGCAAAAATAATTCTCTACGATTTACAAAAAGTCCTGAACCGATTTTAAAAATTTAAAAACTGTACGAAAGATATTAGTTGGGAAAAGCGCTGAACAATTTTGGTGAAGATTGGCTGGACCGTTCCTTCATTATTAGCTCTTGAAAATAATTGTTCGGCAATTAATGAAGCTTTGTAAAGTTTTATATTATTCACACATATAGAGAATTTATTTATTTCATTCAAAGAATTAAAATCGGCTAGTTGTCCGATCGGATCTTTTTATTCTTTTAACCATCAGTTTTCCCCAGATCACCGCTTAAGAACCACAGATGTATCTAAAAATTCCTGTCGAACGCAATCTATTTGTCAAGCAACTTTGTCATGTGTAAAACCAAGTATCGATACACATTAGTTTAGATAAAAATTAATGATTTATGTTCTGTTTTATGAAATTGCAACACCATAGCAAAGGAATGCTATGGTTGTTCTTAGGTCATAACACCCAAGAAAAACATGTGATCTCTCCATAGTTCTGTACCTGTGGTAATCAACTCCTAGCATAACTCTCAGTTGTATTCTTGACTATTCTTCTCCAATAAAACAATAAATGACCATCATAAGAAACCAATAAGTCACACTAACGATCGAAATGGCAATATGCACGTTTTTATTGTCGGTCTGGTAATGGCTTCTTAGATTACCAGGATGCTGGACAAGAAAGTGGTATAGATTGATCTTGAAAACACGATTAGTATTTCTATTCGTAATTGGAAATGGATATACTACTACTAGGGCATAGGAAAAACATCGGTAATGACTTCTAATTACTAAAGCAAAACTAGAGATAATGAGCTTTTTGTAATTAATCGCTATGGCGAACAGAGATTAGCGGATGGTAGTACTGTTATGTCTTTGCAGAATTAGGAATAATAAGATAATATAAAAATTATAATTAGCTAATTATAATTACCTAGGTACATCATTTGCATAATTATATAAATATACTTTTGCAAAAACAAAATAATCTAGAGTAATTGAATTAAATTTTAAGCAGATAGTTTACTGTTACGTCTTTACTTCTCTTACTTCTCTTTGTATGAATTAAATTATCTTACATTTATGGGCATGTAATAAATAATACCAAATTTATAATTACTTAGTTTTAACGTTTGCATACGTAACAAAATCGTAGTGAGTCTTAGTTTTTTTGGAAAATTAACAACCAGATATCAGTCAGTTCTGGTGACTTGTGTCTGGTTGCAATCCGTATTATTTCTTTTTGCTGATTGCTGACAAACAATTGTATTGATAGTTTTGAGTTTTGAAATCGTATAATATATGAACAGTTTTGTGATAGGTTGATGAATTGAAACTTGGTTTTAAAAGACAACACAGTTTTTTTTTATTATTATTTGGCCTTCGACCTTTAGGTCATTTGGCAACATTTACATATTTTGTATACATTATTCAATACAGTTCAATAATATTGTTATTCCATAAACACTAAAAACCTAATTTATGATATATACTTAGATATGCTACATACAATATCTATATATATACACACATACACACATATAAATATACATACATATACACATACATATATATATACATATATACATCTATGCATACACACTATATATAGATCAAATCCTGATTTTGAAATTATGTAGAAAATTCAGTATAATATTGCCGTGTTAATGGGAAAGTTATATTATTCCTATATAGTTCTTGAAGAAGTTCTCTCTCTGTTTTGAGAGTAGGCAGCATTTCCAAAGGATATGATATATTGTTTGAAATTCTGGTCCACAGGAACAGAAGGGGTCCTATGTTCGTCCAATTTTGTATAAATGAGACCTACAAAAGGTGTGAGCGCATCTAATTCTATTTATCATGGAAATGTCTTCTCTGGTCATTTTTAGTTTGCTGAACCAGGTACTAAATGTGACTTGGGGTTTGCAGGGTTTAAATAAGAGCCCTTTGAAGCCGATTCTAGAAGATAATCGACAACACAGTTACTCAAGTTCCTTTCGAGTTAACTTTTCCTTTACTTGAGTGTTGATATAGATTA